AGGGCCAATAGGGAACAATGACTACTGGTCCTTAAATAGCGAGGCTGCGAGCGGAAGGGCATTGTGCTGCTGGGAGACACAGGACTCTGCTACCGATACACGCTGCCGACGACCCGAGATTCTGCTGCTGACGTGCACACAGAAGACAACGCTGATGTGCAAGCATAACTACTGACAGTAAAGTACTATCTGCTATCCTGTTCTGCCTTCTCTTCCTACCATGTAACTGGGGCACATAACCGGTGTTGACGCAGGAACACACAAGGTTATAACACTATAATAGGTGGCTTAGAGCCAAAATAGGGGGGTGATTGCAGATGCTAATTTTTGAAGAGAATTTGCCTTTTCAGAGAAACGCAACCACCCGAGTACTATTTGAGACAGTCTATAGTAGGCGCAAAATGTCAAAAAGCATAGAGCATGCTAGGTTTCTTTCAGCTGAGGGATCGCCTTCGGTATAAAGATATTTTAATGATGTACTTTTCGTAAGACGGTAAGGCATCTATTCAACTACCATACTTTCTGTCCGTTTAGTGATGTTCTTTAAGAAGCATAAAACATATTTTCTACCCACTTCGAAATGTTACGGGTGTTTGATTGGAGACTTTAAACGCAACTGCAACGGCAGGTACCTGGTTTGACCTTTACCGGGACGTAAAAATCATTTTTTCAAAAGAGAAAATTGGGAGCCACTTTCTCCAGGTAGAAATTTTTTTAAAAAAGATGTGATTTGCCACGAAATCTCTACCAGAGCAGGTGATTTTATGCATGTTTCCTGTAAGAAAAAGACGTTTGAATTCATAGGGTTGATTAGAAACGAAATAATAATTAAGAAGTTACCTTTACTGTGAGCTTTTTTGTGGGCGGCCCGAAGGACGCGACTTCAAAAACGCCAGCACCCCAGTGTGACTGAAATATCTTGGAATTTGACTACACAATTATCAATATCACAATCTATCACGACCCGCGCGTGGCACTTATAATTAGCACGAACCCTGAGCTAGCCTGACTGTGGTCCCAAACGCCCGAACATGAGAAGTCAATCGGCCTGGGGAGAAGTGTACTCACACCGAGAAAGTCAAGGTAAGTCACTCTTACAAAAAGAGTGAGGGGGGTATTTATTCAGTCCGCTCCATGAGCAGGCGTCAGCGACAGGTGACCAATCAGGTATGAGGAAAAACCGATAGCAAAGGCGCGCTCTCATGACAGCGGCGTGGAGTTGCACTCAAGGGCCTTTCTGCAAGATGAGTAATCGTGGGAATGGGTGTTGTAACGGAGGCCCAGGCCGAGATATCACCGCGCAATGCGTCGCCAAATTGTTGTAACGGAGCCCAGGCCAAAAATATTCGCCGTCTAACTACGCCTCATGTGAGCCCCCAAAGAGAGAACACGACAGGAAGTGTGCAGAAGGCAGAAGTCTTTGAGTGTTAGAGGTAGAACAAATTTAGGGAAACGAACGTGTGTAAGACAGGTCCACGAACCAATCAGATTCTCTTCTGAAATAGTGGCCGGTCCCATTAGTTATTGGCTCAGTGGATGACAGTAGTTTAAATTCTGAATTATCGATCGATTGAAGGCTTGTGTACGTCCACCCGTGTAGGCCGACCGATAACCTGCTTGGATTGCGGCAATGCCTTGCAAGGTACTGCTTGCTAAGGCTGTTCGTTAGGCCATCCTAACAACTCCCCTCTGAAGATAAATCGAAGATTCTAGTTGCGGGTTCACTTGTGACGGAACCGTTCGCATTCTTTTCCGGCTTAGTCGCCTAGAGGCTGAAGTTCGTGCCTTTTTAGCACTGGATTCCCTCGTGGAAAGGTTTAGGGAGTCGGCGGCAAACGTGGGAGAAGAGGGCGGGGGATTAGTTGGGGCACCACGTCTTTTTTGCGCGCCGCTGCGAGTTGACCGACCAGGTGTTTGATGGGGCTTGGAAGCCGCTGGCGCTTTCTCTCCTGGTTCCTCCTCCTCCTTCTTCTCCTTGTGTACCTCGGCAGGAGGTGGAATCGTCGACATCAGCTTTGTTGCCAGCTGATTCGATTTGGCGGCCTTTCTGTCCGATGTGATCATCGGGGACATCAGCTTTGACGCCAGCTGATTCGATTTGGCGAGATTTGCACACCATTGCAAATGCGGTTAAGTGGCATATCCAGGAGACCGAGTTTCT